CAACCCGAATTGAATTCGAGCAAGTCTCGGGTTAAGGCCTTGGGTTGTTAGGTTCAACCCGAATATTAAAATTTAATTGAACCCAATTATTATATTAGGTTGAACCCAAATATACATAAATATATAAATATATTTAACTAAGGTTAGTATTTTTCTTTACTCTTCAGAGTCCAAGCTTTTACTTCACTTCAAGTCTTCACTCTTGCACCTCCATCACTCTCAGATCCTTCTCTCACTTGTCACTCATCTTTCATCTAGTCTCAGACTCTCAGCCTTTTTCCCTCACTTTTTTGAGTCTCATCTCAGACTCTCAGCTTCTCTTTTTCACTCATCACTCATCCCTCTCTCAATCGTGACTCATCTAAGACATCTCAGACTCTCGGTCGCCCTTTCTCACTCGTCACTCCCCCCTCTTTTATCAACCTTAATTAAGTAACTTATGTTAAACTCAATTTTTAATTCAAAATTAATCCGAATTAAGTAACTCAAATTCAGTTCGAGTCCGCCCGAATTAAACTCGGATAGTACTCGGTTGAATACCTTGGGTTGACATCAGGTTAGGATTAGGGTTAGAGTTGAAAATTATATACCTAGAGTTAGGCTAAAGTTAACCTCTCAACTCTCTTAATCCGTCCGAGTTGCACCCCTACAGCATACCCACCTTGGTATATCATACATACATCTATGAACCAAAAATCTATATCGATATATTATTCACTAAAAAAATTAGTCATTTGGTAATTAATGACATAATATTCAACCATATTTATAGAGATAAAATATTATTTCCTATCACATGTCTAAAATACCTATTCACAATATATTAAAACTTTTCCAATTTATTTTCTATTTGATTAGGTCACTAATAAACTTATCCATGATTTATTAAGACTCTTACATCAATTATCCAACAAACTCTCTTTCATAACAATTAGAGAGTTTAGATCAAATTCTAAATATCAAAGTTCAAAAGGGTTGGGGGGAAGGGGGGAGGGGGAAGATATTACAACACTAAAGAAGCACTATACGTGAGTGTGTATATATAAAGACACGCACATATATATACTTTGAAATAAACTATGTTTTCACTTGGTATTTTTTGTAAATCAATAAGGCTCTTAAAAACTTTAATCTGATATTATTGTCATGATCAACAAGTTAAAATTTTTATTATTTAATATCATTTTTTTATTCACGTTACCTTGTATGAGAGAGAGAGAGAGAGAGAGAGAGAGAGAGAGAGAGAGAGAGAG